AATTTTATGCAATTGTAATTTTGTTTCTTTTAATTCAAAAGAAGTCATTTCTTAGCTGTCTGGTATATTGCGGGCACCTGCTAGGCAATAAGGAATGAATAAGACATAGCCCCCTATTTCCAAGGAGCTTATGGTCTTAAAGACTCAAAAGAAGGCAGAAAGCCAATAGTTATGACAGAGTGCTATATAGATATAACAGAAATATGCTCAGGGTGCAAAGAACAGAGAAAGGAGCATTTAAATCAGCTGGTGTATCAGTAAGTTTGCCAGAGGGAGAATGTCTAAGCAGTCTTGAAGGATGAATAAAGCTTAGCCAGGTGGAATAATGGGAAGAATGCGCCAGGCAGAAAGAACAGCACATCGAGGTAAGGAGTTGTGAAAGAACTGGGGTCACTAGGGAATCAAAGAGACAATAAAGGCAGAATCCTCCATCTCTGTGGAGCAATGGTGGAAGAAGACCCTGGAAGAGAAAGAAGAAGCCAAGCCCTGAAAGGCATGGAAGACATGACTGTGTGTCCCAGGGAGCTTTTGAAGGACTTTAAGACATACAACATCATACTTACGTTTTCAGAAAGGAAAATATTGCACTAGTGTGGAGGATGACCCAAAGAGAAATGAACATGGAGAGAAGGCAATGGAGTCAAAAGATGATTTAGGAAGTAGAATTGACAAGAACTGACTGAATCTAGGATGGCTCAGTTTTTGGCTAAAGACACTGGTAGAACAGTGCTACCCCTTACTAAACGGAAATAGAGCCAGAGGAGGTTTGGCGGAATGAGATGCTGAGTTCAATTTGGGATGTGAGCTCTGTGATGGCAGGAGTCTTCTCTTTTGTTCAGTGCTGTGGTGCCCTGCACCTACTGCAGTATGCCTCGCTTAGAGTAGGCACCATTAAATACCTGAAGAAATAATGACACTTGTTGATTTTGAGGTACCTACGGGATACTCAGATGGATTTTTACTAAGAATTTTTCTACATAGCTCTGAAACTGCGGGGAAAGTTCTGGACATATAATTAAATAACCCAAAAGTAGAACAATGGCAATAACTTAAGAAATAGTGATTATTAGAGGAATGAGGAAATGGAATAGAAGACCATAGGCCAAAAAAGGAGTGAGAAGCAATGACAGCATAGAGGGGAATGTTATAATAGAAGCCCCAAGAAAGCAAGTATTGAGGAGAAAAGAGTGATCATTATCCAATGCCAAGGAAGAATAAAGCGACCCAAGGATACTGGACACTTCAGTATATATAGGACATCCACAAGTCTGAAAACCTAGCTGTTACTATTTTACTGTATTGTAAAATAATATCAATAACCTATTTATCGTGTATAGTAACCTCTGTTTCCAAAGTTTATGAACACTCTGTAGAAATGAGGTCAGTCTTTGCAAGAACGTGCTTCCAGGAGGCAATGTCTTGAGAGAGAATGGGCGAAGAAATAAATGGAGCATGAGAAATTACCAACATGGAGCCCATATTACTTGCTCACAGCGTTTTGTTGGGAAGGAAGGAGAGAACTAGGGCCGCAGAAAGGGAGATGAGGACTCCAAGGAAGGGCGTGTAGTGTTGTGGTTGTGGTACATCAGCCAGTGCTCTGTGTGCTCGCTTAGCAGCCAAGCGTTGCTGTACTTACTCATTCTTCACAAAGGCATGCTTGTCAATGGTCTCCACAACATCTCTGAAGAGAATCTTTGAAGTCAGAGTATAACCGTGGTGGACCACTGGCTCTCCATCTGGGCCATCCCAACAGTCAACTGCCAAAAATAGAACTTCACATCAACAACATAAAGCTTCTGGTGTCCGCTAATATTTCTGGAACCATCAGACAAATATTATTTTACATTTACTATTTAAGATTATACATGTTATGATCATGACAAAGATATCAGACAGAGAGATGGGTGTTCTGGCATATTTATCAGAATAAGGAATTAAAGATAATAAACGATCTGTTTGAGTGCTTATAGTTAACAAAGACGTCATATTCACAAGCAGCCTAGCATTTACCAAGAACGCTCATTAGAAATCGATCTAAATCCAATCAAGTATGCCCAAGGATAGTGATACTTCTTAACAGGCTGTTTTTCTGATGTTACTTCTTCATTTTCAGTTTACTAATAAAGCCTTTTAGTAAATTGCAGTGACCCTCTCAAATCAATAACAGAGTTTTTCATTACTGTACACTTAAACTCATTATGTTTCTATTAGATTTTCATTTTATAAATTCTACAGTAGCTATAAAATAACACTGACTTCCTAAGTTCAAATCCTCAGGTCCTGCCAAGATTTATGTGAATATGGGCAAATGATTAAATCCTTTAAAGCCTTGCTTTCTCCCACTGATAAAAGGAAATAATGGTCGAATTTGCATCATAAGTTTGAGTGATGACTATGCAAAGCTGCTTATAATACTGCACAGTACATAGCAATTGTGATTGTTATTGATAATATTGATACTGCTATACGTATAGACAGCCTCACTGGTTCCCCGCTGCAGAAGGACAACCACCACCATCCACCCCGACTTAGAGTTTGCCTTTCTTGCTTTACACTTGACCACCAGACTGGTTTCTCAAAACAATGCTTTCACCATGTTGTTCCTTTGCTCAAAAGTCTCCTCAACACATAACACAGCATCCAACACATATACAGCATGCACTCAGTAGATACATGCTGAATTTATTAATACCCTACAGCAGCCCCTGCCTGCTTAACCCCAAGGTCTCTATCTCTTGGGCTAGAGATTGGCTAGCAGTTCACTCAGCCTGTATCCACTTTCGCCCTAGCACGCAGCTGGACTACACTGCCCAGCCTTCCCTTGCCATAGGATGTAGCCATTGAAATGCAGGCAGAAATTATGTGCAGCACTTCCAGGTCTGATCTGTGAAAACTTTCCCTACACATTCATCCATGCTCTCTCTTCTTTTGCTATCGCTGCAGAAGACACGTGCTGGAGATGGCATGAGCCTAGACCCTAAATCATTGCTTGAAAGATTCACCTACTAGGGACACCTATTTTGGACTTTATAATAAGCAAGAAATAAATTTCAGTTGCTTTAAGGCACAGAGATTTTAGGTTTTTAACTCTTAAAGTAACTATTGTTGCCATAATACCCTAGCTCCCGTCTGACAAGTCAACCTTATTTTCTCCTACACCTTACACTCACAGACGTGTTCTTCCATTAGGCAAGTTTCCTCACATACAATCCTACTTCCATGACTCTACTTCTTTCATTTAAGGTCAACCAAAAGGCCCTCTTTCACTTTCCTTATCTAAATCCCAATCAAGGCTATGCTAGGATCCCACATAGAATCTTGCCGGCTCTCATGATACTGCCCTTCCATATAGCATAGTCGGGCAACTCTGCTTGCCAGAGCTGAGAAAGGTCACAACTCTAGATCTTACTGCTATGACTTTTCCCAATTTTTAAATATTGGCAATTAATCCATTTTTTAAAATCACAATATGAGCCAAACATTCTGCAGGCTGGATTTGGCTAATGGAATGCCAGTTAAAACTCTCACTTTTAATTAGGGCCAGACAGTTCATGACCACACCTGTTCTTTATTTTAGTAGTACCTTCCTCATACGTGTGCTTTGTATATTATATCAGGAAATGGTATGTCCATTTTTTTTTCTAAAACTTTCAAGCTGTTCACCATAACCCTAATAGAATTTGATGGTTAATTTTATGTGTCAACCATGCTAGGCTAAAATGCCCAGTTATTTGATCAAACACCAGTCTAGATGCCTTAAAGGTATTTTTTAGATGTGATTAACATTTAAATCAGTAGGCTTTGGGTAAAGTTACTCACTCTCCATAAAGTGGGTGGGACTCATCAACCAGTTGAAGGCCTTAGGAGTAAAGACTCCCATTTCCTGAAGAAGAAATTCTCCTCAAGCCTGTAACATCAACTCCTACCTAAGGCTCCAACCTCCTGGCCTGCTATGCATATTTCAGACTTGCAAATTCCCATGATCATGTAAGCCAATTTCTTAAAATCGACCAATCTTTCTTTCTCTCATATATATGAGAGAGATCCTATTAGTTCTGTTCCCTAATAGAGTTACCTATATTGCAATTAAACATTGGCTGTTAAATTATCCTTAGGGGAAAAAATGGAAAAGGTAAAAGGAAAACAAAACTTTCAAGGTTAACACCATAGGAATATAGGAAAGAAACTTTAAAGATGCTGTTAAGAAGATCAAAGGTTTTGGGATACTAGCGTAAGGAGTTGCACTGTTCCTTTGGGCCTACAAATGAGGTCAAACGTATCAAAGACATTTTCTAAGAAGAGAAGCTCCATCCATCTTTTGACATGGACTTGACATTCTTTTATTTGTCCTTGGATAAAGGTATGGAAAGAAGGAACAGATATTTCAAAGTATGGAATTTGAAATAATTTAGACCCTGAGTTGGCCCCCTTGTGGAGGAAAAAGGGTATAACAGGGTTCCTCATAAATGAACAACATCCTTGCAAAAAGAATGGATGTAGACCAGGCGATGCCATGCTTGTTTGATTCTCGTGTATAAATAAAAGTAGCTCTTCAAACTACATTGGTCATGAAAGAAGGTGCTCTTTTGCTAGCATTTATAACGTAGGCAGAATACCTGTAGTCGAGGATGGTTCTTCTAATGCTCACTTTTTAGATCTATTTCATCACCTGTCTGCTAAACGAGGACAACACTCCCAAATGGTAACTGGCATCCTAACACGTGGCAATCATAGCCAAGTTCAAATGACAGTGAAGGTTCCTGTAAGGGCTCATGCTGTGATGGAAATGCCTCTAACCAATTCCCCTAGCCACAAAATTACCAGGGGCCCGTTTTTCAATCACGTCACGTATTAGTGGCCCCCGAAAGCACTCTGACAAAGAGTTGGCCAGTTCTGCAGGCTAGCCAAGCAGCTAACATGACAGCTTTTCATAATGGAACTTAAAAGCGTTCCATCCTGATAGCGTTCCCAGAGATAACAGGGAAGGCTGTAAACCGATTATGGCAGTGATGCAACATCAGTTCCATAATGAGGGTGAAAATCCCCTGGACAGAACATCCATATTTATTAGGCAACTTGGGCTGAAAATCAAGGGAATGAAAGGCCATGTACAAAATGCTATCCAGTTTATTTGCTGACAAACCCACTTCACCAAAAAAGGACTTAGTAGTCTTCCCCAAGACACTATATATATCCTGACCAAGGATATTCCCACAGCTGAACTAATAGAGATGGAAAACACACCATTATCAAACTAGAAGCTCAAAAGGGGAGAGATTCTTCAGGTCACAGTACCATGAAGAACCCGTCCAGAATCACTACTCTCTACCTCTAAGTGCTATGCTTGGCAGAAGCTGCTTCCAAAAAATATTTATGGGACCAGCAGCAAGGAGACGAGACGGCACCGCAGCGACGCCAGGCCTTTCTCTGATGTGCAGAAAAGGTTGGGCCTTAACTTAGATCATCGGATGACAATCCAAAGTGCCGAGCAGCCTCACAAGATTCCAGGTCGATGCCATGCTTTTGAAAAAGAATGGATAGAATGTGCGCATGGAATCGGTGGTACCCATGCAGAGAAAGAGTGCAAGATCAAATTTGATGATTTTGTAGAATGTCTGCTTCAGCAGAAAACGATGAAACGTTTGAGTGACATCAGGAGGCAGCGAGATAACCTAATAAAGGAAGGGAAGTACACGCCTCCACCTCGCAACGTGGGCAAGGAGGATCCTAGGCCCTGAGCAGAGCTGCTGCTGATGGCTGGAGGCTGATTTTCATGTTCTCTCTTCTCCACTGGAAAGTTCATTTACTGAAAACCTTTGTGAAAGTGCCTAAAAATAAAGGGTTGCTCTATCCTATTTACTCTATTTTCTCTTGGATCATACTTTTCTATAAAAAATATATATATATTTATGGGACCTGAAATTTCCAATCCTTGACTTGCTAGATTCCCTAAATCAGGTTCTTTAAATCCTAGCTATAGCTATTTCAGTGTAAAAACAACTTGATCTGGACTCAAGGGAGATGACATAGCACTGGGTATATATACACCAGTGTCTCAGGCCCAAGCTTCAGCTGTGAGCTCACATCTTCAAAGCACAGGGCTGACAGAAGTTGTTAGGAGAGCACAAAAGATCATGTCATCAAATTCTCAGTCTTCAGGAACATCTGAATATTTAGATGGTAGTCCTAATCTTGAATGAAGCAAATTCCTTCTTTTAAAGCCACCCTCCCCTCAGTGCTTCACTTCACTTTCTCTAGCCTTCCTTAGGTGACCTGATGGCCTTCATTTGATCCCTCCTAGGGCTGATCATGCCATTCAATGCTTGTGCCTCCAGAAAGCACACAGACTTCCCAGAGAACAGTGGAGTAGGGGAGTTAAATCAACTTGAGTTCAAATCTCCGCTCCCAAGCTTCCTAGCTATGGGAACTTGAGCCCCTTCACCCACTCCAAGTTGGGGTGTCCTCTTAAGTAGGCTATTCTAGCCCCCTTAAGTTGTAAGAATCACAGGAGAATGTATGGAAAGCACTCAGTCAGGACCTAGCCCACAAAAGGGGCTGAAATCATAGTAGTTCCTCTGTCCTTCCTACAGTGCGTTCAAAGCTGAAGTGATAACCATAATTTTGAACATGAAATAGATCCCAGACAAAGCTGACCAAATCCCTCAGATAAATATAAATTCTTCTCCTCAACAAAAACATTCCAGTAATAGTAGTTTGACTTTCACTGCCCACTTACAGATTATTCCAATAGTAATAACTTCAAGTAAGCAAAGTAACAGGGGAGGGATTTGCTGATACAAACTGGTGAGGGAGGTACTGGAGAGATTGCATGTCCTTTAAAGTTACACCAGAGCTGTACATAGTCTCAGTTGGTGTGAAGATCTGGAGCAAAGTAAGCTTTTAGAAAGCTTCTTTCTATTACTTTGGTGACTGGCAGTTAGGAAGAAAGAAGGGAGACACAAGAGAAGGCCCATGTTCAATATCATCTACCGCACACAATTTCTAAAAGCTCTCATTTTAAAATTAAAAGATCCCTAAAAAAAAGCTAAGATTAAAAGTCATCTGTACCTTAAAAAAAAAATCATTTTTACCTTGCTATAAATTGTCTTAATCAGATAACTTCCCTTCTTAATACCCCAAACAAAGCTGGAGGTGAGATGTTCTGATTCAGTATAAGGAGCTGATCATGGGAATATGGTTAGGCTTGGGTAAGACCCTGATTTTGGAGAGCAAAACCAAAAAAGAGAAGACTGAGTACCTGAAAGACCTGAAAAGCAAAAGAAATACGGCCCAGGACATGGCAGTTAACAAAACTGCAAAACGGTCTGGAGTTAACGATCTGTTACTGAGTCATTACAAGTCATTTTCCATACCTGGCCTCCGAGGACATGTCACCATTTAAAATGATAGGCAACCATCACTGTGAATCCAATGAGGGTATGTGCCCAGGGAACCTCTATGCATGTCAGACATGTAAAACTTCTTGAGTGCTGAACGAACAAAGGGTTGAATAATGGCTGAGCGCAGAATGTCATCTCGAGACCTTCTAAAAGGTTTTTCTTTATGTTAGTATTTTATAAGCATCTTCATTACTCAGTTGTTTAAGCTACTCAATTGTCAGTCACTCATGTCAGTAGGTGTTCTCTGCAGTGACTGCAAAAATGCCATGTCTTAAAGCATAAATTTCCAGAACACTAAATTTGTAGTGGTTCTGATTGTTTTGTATGGAGACAGTTTTTACTGCCTGTTCAGTTTTAAAATGTTAATTGACCCTTAGAACATGCCAGAAACTCTGTGACAAAGACCCATCCAGTTACGGGTCTTATCACCCTACTGCTTTATTCATTTCCCCTACACTATTCCACCACCCTAAGAACCTATTATCCACTGCTAACCCCCAGCACATCCCCACCAAAAAGTGACTCGTCTTTGCTCCATGGAATCTCCATTCCATCACAAACTCCCTTTTATCATCAGACTCTTTTTGGAGTTCTCCTTCAACTTCCTTATCTTGATTAACAATCAGCTTGCCTTGGAGGACACTACCTTTCTCCATAGATATTTTTTTGTATAAATCACAGACCAGAAGGCATGCTCTAGGTCTTTATTGCTACTTTTAAATAATTGTTCTCCTCTATTCATTAAAAAATAAAACAAAATCCCCCCACTCTCGAACCTCACTTTATCCAACTCTACCTTTCTGGCATCTTCCAAGTGCCTTTCCTACAGCATTCTTTTTGCACTGAAGTATCTGGCTTACAGTTTTTAATCTCCAATTTTTATCTTTAAAATTTTTAATAATGAATCTACATGTCAACATCCTTTGTGAGTTAAAAGTCCATGTGGGCGATTTACTCAATCTCTTAGCTTTGACCTTCCCAATGCTAACAATCTTATCTCCACTCTTCATTCATGCTCACCCATGACACACCCTGGATACAATCATCACCTGTAACTACATCCAAAATCCCACTCTGTGATAACAATTCTCTGTTCTTATTTTTTGTATGTGTGATGACAACTTTCTCCATCTTTCTATCTCTTGCGAGTCTTACCTCATTCTGTAGCCCCTTATTCACTTCTCTTCCTAAGACTCATGGACCTACCGACTAATTACTTAAAAGAGCTCTCACCAACACCTTGATGATATTTTATACGACCTAGAAATCTAGAGGCTTGGATCAATTCTATAATCTACTTCACAGCTCCTATATCTAATCTCCTGGGAATGGGATGGGAGGAGGCTAAGCATGCAGATTTTGTAGAACAAAAGGACAGTTTTATTAAGACGGTTTTTGAAATTAACTAGGACTTCCCTAGTTTATCTTGTCAACTCCTTTCCCATTGTTCGTTGATCTTAAGCCCCCAAGCCGACTTCCACCCACTTTACACCTAGCAGATGATGCGCTCCTCCCAGAGAAAGGAGAGGCTATCAGGTTTGAACCCTTTCAAAATCTCGGCCCCCATCTAAAAACAGAACCTGGGTCCTCATTTCCTCTTCCTCCAAGTCTTAAAACCTTAAAACTGTATCCCCCAATTTTCTTCGAATGCAGAAAAATGCCAGGTGACTAACCCACAGCAGCTACCCCCAACTTCCCACTAGCATGTCACCAAAACTATCTATCAAAAGACACCAATAACCTTCCAGCTGTCAAATGCAACCAGACTGGATAATTGGTCTTTGCCTTAACTTACTTTTCTGTTGCATGGGACATTTTTGACCATTTCATCCCTCAGGTCCCAGGGACCATTCTGTGTTCATCCCCATTGGTTCCCCTTGCTCTTCCAACATCTAACTGCTGGATCGCTTAACTCCTCAGGCCTCATTCACTTGTCCACTCCTCTCTGGGGGTGATCTTGTACACTTTCAAGACTTTAACTATCACATACAAAACTCAGAACTATGGAATCTTTATCTTCCCCGGATCTTTCCATTTTGCTCGGATATTATTATCCAACTGGCTGACAAAAATGTCCATGTGAATGATACAAAGTGACGATAAACTCAACTGATGGAAAACTGAACTCGTGGATGCTCTTCCCCCTAGGTTCCCCACAGTAGGTGGTGGCACCATTCACTCATTACAGCTCTCACCCTCCTTTACTTCTTGCACCAGGTCCTGCTGAGTTGACTTCTTTATTATCGATGTAATCATCACTCCTCCTCCCTTAGTCCAAGTTTTTATAACCCTTCCTTTGAATTGTTGTTAAGAGCCTTCCTACCATTCTCCTTGCTCTCTCTAGCTTCACCCCTGTTTCTCTCCACAAACACATATTCTAAAAAAAATTGTCCTCCTACATGGTGACCCAAGTGATCTTTCTCAACTACAAGTCTGATCATATCACTATATGCATTAAGACCCTTCACTGGACCCTTGTTACCAAAGGCCAGAGGTAGAATTCCTCAAGCCCTTTAACCCTTCATGACTGACCCAAGTTCACCTTCCCAGCCTACCTATTTCTCATTGCATTTTATCTGACACCTTACTCTTCATACCACCACTTCTTCACTATGTATATGATCGGCCTGGTGGAATTCTCACACTGTCCTACTGTTTTTAATGGCCACCCATTCTGCTAGACTGTCAGCTCCTTGCAGACAGACACCTGGATCTATGTCCCCACAATCAAGATCCCACTAGAAATTTAATAAATGTTGTTAATTGAGAGATCATGAAGTGTCTTGAAAGCAAAGAGTTACCCTGAACTACATTTGCCATTGTTGAAACAAAAATATCTTTCGAGTAAAGCTTTCATTTTCATTATAATCTTTCAGCAACTGCAGGTGTGTTTCCTGACTTCTAGTTCATCTCTCTTTCCCTCCTGACTGGACAGTAAGGAGGAACCAGAGAGCATTACGAGTTAAGAATGACTCTAAGAGCAGAAAAATGGTTCTGGTTCGTGTGAGTGCATAGTTCAGGTCTCCACTGTCTAGACTTGACTGACTGCCTAAACGGCACATTCATCAACACGCAGCAGAGCTCAGACGAGGCACGAACCTTCCACACAGCGGCAGCCCTCCTGTAGCACCCGGGCGTACATATCCACTTTGGACTGAGAAAGGAGCTGGTCCCCGGTCAGGTATGTGTTGTGAGAGGAAGCGATGTAGTAGTTGCAAAGGGGCTGATCCATGTCCTGGTACACTTCATGGTGCAGTGGGTTAAATATGTCACAAGCAGGACTACGCATGAAGTTCGTGAACCCTTTGGAAGAAAGACAGAGTGAAGTACTGTAGCTTTCCAAGCATAGGTACTTAACCGACCCCACCGGGGACAACAGAGATCATAGTGATTAGCTTATTTA